AGTCATTCGCCTTGCATAGTAAATTGTGAACCTTACCTATATAGAAGTTAAAAATGTTTATGTCTCCAACTTTTAAAAATTCAGCCTTGCGCTGAAACCAGTTTGGCTCAGTTGATAGAGCGTTGACCTGCGGACTGAAAGGTCCCAGGTTCGATTCCGGTCAAGGGCATCCCCAGTAGGGGGCATGCAAGAGGCAGCTGATCGATGACTCTCTCTCATCGATGTTTCTAACTATCTCTCTCGCTTCCTCTCTATAAAAAAATCAATAAAATATATATTTTTAAAAATCAACCTTGGTTAAAGTTGAAACCCAAGGCCACAGATTACAATTAGCCTTCTATTTAAAAAAAAATAAAAAATTGACAGAAGGGAAAAACACTGCAAAGCATAGAACAAACCATTATGGGTTATTTATAGACTAAGGCCCGGTGCATGAAATTCATGCCTGGGTGGGCCTGGCTTGTGATCAGGGCTGATCAGGGCCAGGCCAGAGAGGAGGCGACAGTTGCCAGGCTGGGTGCAGAAGAAATGGATGCCAACACTGCCACTGCCGTCATCAGCGCTCCACCACTGTGTGGTTCCCTGCCTCCCTACTCCCTTCTCCTCTCGCTACCACAACACCCCTGCAGGTGAGGGGGAGGGACGGAGCACAGGAGGGGGCTGGCCCTTGGCGCCCCTGGGAATTGGACTGCATCTGCTGCCACCCACTCTAGGTCCCTATCCTAGCCCAGGGCCTGGCCCCAATAGGGCGATCAGGGCCTGCCAGCTGGGTGGAAGGACTGTGGGAGGTTGGCTGGCCAGAGGAGGTTGGCCATGGGAGCACACTGACCACCAGGGAACAGCTCCTGCGTTGAGTGTCTGCCCCCTGGTGATCAGTGCGAATCATAGCAACAGGTCGTTCTGGTCATTCCAGCCACTTAGGCTTTTATATATATAGATTAGAGTACCGTAAAAGCAGGAATATATCATATTTTTCCATGTATAAGATGCCCCTATGTATAAGACGCCTCCAACATTTCCAACCCAAAATTTAAAAAATCAATATTTTAAACATAAAACAGAACAAAATTTTATTTAGTAATTCCCGCAGGTAATGTTTACATACAGTACTATGATATTGTGCAGCATTATCACTTTATTCAGCTTCTGTTGCATCGCTGCTCTCTTCTTCATCACTATTAGTTCCAGACATATCAATTTCTTTTACTTCGACTGTATCACTGCTGTCTTCTGAGTCACTGTCTATATATGTGAGACCATTCTCATAAACTGGTAGCATTTTCTGAGCTTTGTTCCTGTTCTCATGGCCAACCCTTCTCTCCTCGTGAAACTGAAGCACCATTTTGCCTTTCCTGTAAGATCAACAATGTTCATTTCACTTGCACACATTCTTGCCTGACATTGAATAAGCTTGGTGGACACACATAAGCCACTCTGGCGCTGTTCCATAATCCAAGTCTTAAGCCTCTGCTCCAAGTTTGCCCATTTCGCTGGTTTTCCACTTAAGGCCTTCTTCTTTTTTGGCATCTTAAGGAGTTGTTCCTCCTGTTTTCTCCACTGTCTGATCATACACTCAGTGGGAGGAGGTCCAAATTGTCGCTCTGCAGCTCTATTTCCAAGCTCTTTTGCATAACTGATTACATTCCGTTTGAATTTTGCAGAGTAAGACAATTGCTTATGGTATTTATCTTTTTATTTTTTGACATCTTTATGGGCTCAGAATGCTCTGGTCCCTGTTGCACCTATGCACTCTCCACCTCCACCTCCAATCACAGCATCGGCTGACATCAGTAACAATAAAGCTTGTGATTGGAGGAAGCCTGTTTGACAAGGTATAGGCAGCTAGGCACCAGAGCAGCTCCCTCGTCAGCTGACTTCCATGTATAAAATGCTCCTCAATGGTCAGTCTAATGATTTTAGGAAAAAATAGCTTCTTATACACAGAAAAACATGGTAATTACATAACATACTATGAAGACACTAAGAATATAAGATAATTAGGTTGGGGTGAAGGGCTTATCAAGCATTATACCGTGTTTCTCCGAAAATAAGACATCTTCCGAAAATAAGACCTACTTACAGGTCTCCTTCTGAGTGAAATATAAAGCATCCCCCCGAAAAATAAGGCCCCCTCTAGGCTAAACATGAGAGATTAGGTCCACTGATTCTGAAAGAAATGGAGTCACAAGAAATTCACCAGGAAATTCAGGAATTGGATTGTTATGATGATGTTCCAGAAGATGCTGACATGATTGTCATTGAATAAATTGAGTAAATTCTTGATACTGGAGGATTCAGTTTGTCTGGTTTGTGTTCACAACTACCATACTACCGTACCGTATACAGGTAATAAATTTCCTTTATAATTATTTAACAATAAATGTGTACTGTATTCTTCTTCATGGAAAAATAAGACATCCCCTGAAAATAAGACCTAGCGCATCTTTGGGAGCAAAAATTAATATAAGACACTGTCTTTTTTGGGGGAAACAGGGTATATATGTTCTTATTCTATACCATATCATCATAAAATTGGGTAGTTTGTAAAAACTTACCTGTTAGCTACAACTTTTTGTTACATAATAATTATTATATAATAGTCAAGCTTGAAACTATATGCTTAATTGCTTAAGATATAAAATTAAATTTATGCACTGTATGTTTATTTTATGGAAATTGAACTTGAATTTCTTTACCAACCATGTAATATTTAACCACTAGCTATGACTTCACCAATCTTACTAAAATTAACTCAACCAGTAAGAATCTTAAAATCCTTAATATTCTTTTGGAGTTAGTATAAAGCAAATGCTTTCCTCTTTGCATCAATTGTGGTACAAGTAAAATGATTATAGCAGACACACTTTTTAACCACCACATAGAATCTCAACTTTTTCCATTTCCAGAATCTCAACTTTCCTCTGAGTTGATGGTCAAAGCATATGGACCTGCTATTACTGGCAACATAAAATATTTTCACTCCAGGGTCTTATTGAAACCCCTGACCTCAAATTTTCTATTGCTTAATTCATATCAAACATTGTTTCAAGAATAAAGTGCTTGGAGGATTATCAGAAGAAAATTATCCTCATTTCAAACTGGGAATTCCAAGTTTCCACTTTATGAAGGCTCATGAGATAAATTTTTCTGAAGTCTTAGTATCAGAAAAAAATATGCCTCTCTTGAGATGTGATCTCAAAAATACTATAAAACTCTATTTTAGCTAATTTGTTACATTGTTCCACTACCCTATTTGCCCTTTAACATCATACCTATTGCCTCATTTACTTACATTTGCCTTGTGTTATATTAATAATATGTATTTCCTATTGCCTTAAATTTTCTGTAGAATAATGAAGGTATATATAAGAATACATAATTTTCAAACTACAGAAAGGACCATGCTTATAGGATCAGAGGTGAAGAAAGGAAAGAGAATCTATGACAGCAAACAAGTACTAGGGTACTAACAGAACATTTGAAAAGATTTTGAGTCATTGAAGCCAAAAGTATTAATATGTGCCCACCAAAACAAGTGCCAAGAAGTTCTGAAAGAACGAACTGTTCTTCAACAATTTTTTCAATACAGCAAACACATAAGCTTTGTCCATAAAGCACTTAAGTCTGAGCTTGCTTATGTCCCCTAAATAAGTGCCTTTTGTGCATAGAGCACAAGAAAATACATATATTCCCTGTCCTGTTAAGGTGTGAACTTAATTTCTACATTATACAACTGATTACAACGATCAGCAAGGAGCATACTGCCCAAGAACAGAATCGAATTGCGTGTTCAAAGCCGCAAGCCAACGCCTGCAACTTGTTCTTTTGTTATTTTTCAGTCCCTAAATGTGTTGACTTGTATCATCTGGCTTTTCTGTTCAAAACTTCTTCTGGGCCCTAGAAATAATTCTGCCAGTATACATAAGTCCAGTGAGTTTATTTCTACCTTCATAACAAGACTGGAACTGAAACTGCAAAACAGCTTGTGAAATATCAAATTACTTCCCTGAACTCCTGTTTGATCATCTGTACATTTCAAAGTATTTTTGCTTTTTTTGTTTGTTTTGCTCATCCTCACTTGAGATATTTATTCCATTGGTTTTCAGAGTGAGTGGGAGAGGGGAGAGAGAGAGAGAGAGAGAGAGAGAGAGAGAGAGAGAGAGAGAGAGAGAGAGAAACATCAATGTGAGACACATGGATTCGTTGGCTCCCATAGGTGCCTGGAGGGGGTGGGGTGGTAGGCCAACGCTCTAACCATTGAACTACCAGCCAGGCCTTATTAAACCTCTTCCGTTTGACTAGCCTCTTCATAATCCTGTAAAATGCTTTACAAACACTTTCTTGGATGTCAGATGCAAAACCTGATCCCTTTCAAGCTACAGATAAGGACAGTGAGATGTTGCCCAATACAATGGCTTGTCCCAGATTACACACCGAGGAAGTGGTAGAACCAGAACCAGAACCAGGTTGTTTTTTCTTCTTCTTCTTCTGCAGAACCCATGATCCCATCAAAGGGGCAACACCGGCGGTGAGACAGCGCACGTGTCCCACAGGAATAAGCCATTGACACTTCCTAGGAATTCAGGTTTTTTGGAAATGTCTGGGGGGGAAAACTCCGTAAGAAGACAGGTTGTGCAGGTGTGCAGGGCAGCCTAAAACTGGTACCACTGGGAACAGTTTGCAAAACAGGAAGGTGCAGTAGGGTGTGCCGCGACTCAGCTCACCTGGCACTCCCCCACCTCTCTGCCAGCGCCCCAAGGATGCCAGGTTCCTCCTGGCCCGGCGGCGCCCTCAACGTCCTTTTTCCCGTGACCCGGGAGGGTGCGTTCCCTCCGCCCTCGCGCCCACTCTTCCTCCCTCTTACCCGTCACCCCGTTTACCTGACAAATCTGGGGGCCAGGCCCATGAATAAATGAATGAATGAATGAATGAATGAATGAATGAATGAAAGCCCAGGGCGCCCCTAACCCCTGCAGAGGGTGACAGAGCCCGGGCCTTACACAGACGGGCGCGCCGGGGAGGCTGTCGTGCCCCAGCCAGGCCTCAGGGCGGCACCCTGGTCCCGCGGCCGGCGCGCTCGAGCGGGACCGCCGCCGGGCGCCGCCACCCGCCGGCCGGGAGCGTGTCCCTCTCCCGGTGACGCAGCCCCGGGCGGCGAACGTGGTGTGACCGCAGCGGCGGCAACCGTACGCGCCTCTCCCGCCGCCGGCGCGGACGTGCGTGCGGGCCGCAGGGGACGCGGCGCTGCCGGGAGCGGCGGGCGGGCGGGCGCCGCTGGGAAGCAGGACGCAGGCGCCGGACGTAGGACGCAGGCGCCGGCGAGGAAGTAGGTCCGGGCGGGCGGGCGCGGCGCTCCTCACAGCGGGGCAGCCCCTCGGGGACCCAGCCGGCCGCGGGCCCAGTGGACGCGGGAGGCCGGGCCGGACGGTTCCCGGGCGGCCGCGGGAGGGGAAGGAAAGGCCGCGTTGGGGACCGGGCTGTGGGGAAGCCGGAGGGGCGGGGGGGGCGCTCTTCCTGGTCCACTTCGTGGCGCCCCCGGCGGCGGAAGGAAGGAAGGGGGCTGGGCCGCCGCTCGGGGTCGTCGCCGGCCGCCGACCCGCCTTTGCTTGTCCCTCGTGCAGGCGGAGCTGCGGTCGGAGGCTCCATGTTGGGAAGCGGCGCCTGCCGTCCTCGTTAAGCGGGAGTCGTCGGGGCGCCGCGGGCTGAGGCGGCGGCGGCGGCGGCGGCGGCGGGCCGGGCGCCGAGCGAAGATGGAGGCCCCGCTGCGGCCTGCGGCGGCGGACATCCTGCGGCGGAACCCGCAGCAGGACTACGAGCTCGTGCAGCGGGTCGGCAGCGGCACCTACGGGGACGTCTATAAGGTGAGGCCGCCTGGCCCCCGAGCCTGGCCCTTTTCCCCCACCCCCCCCGAGGGCGCTGGCTCCGGGAAGAGGGATTCGGGGTGCAGGAAGGGGGACCGGAGAGGATGCTTTTATTGTTGCATCTTGGACATGAAAGCGGCCGGGGTCCCTTCTACTCCGTGCAAGAGCACCCGAAGTTCAGGGCTTTCTCAAATCGCTACCAAGAAGCAGAACTAACCACATACACACACACACACACACACACACACACCTTGGCAAACCACGGCTGTCCTTTTTTGTGGTTATAAATAAGGCACGCTAACGCCTTATTCGTTGTATCAAAGGGAGTTCAAATCTGCTATGGAGTCGCACTTGAGGATGTTTTAGCTTTAGCATGGGAAAAAAATGCTTCATGGAAGACAGGAAAGAATATTGACATTCCGATATTTGCACTTCAAAAAAAAAACACCCTTTAAAACGGATGAGCTTAATTAAAAAAGTCGTGTGAAAAGCTGTCTTTCACTTATAACTGTACACAATCTGATACTGGGACAAAAATGACGGGAGCACAAACATCCTTTGTAGAAAGATGCTTTTTTTTTGTCCTGGCAGAAGTTTCACCCTTTGTATCTGGCTGGTGATGTATCTGGTGGATGATTGTGTGTGTGTGTGTGTTTTTCTGGGACTTACAACATCTCATGACCAAGAGTGGATAAGAGCTGCTGTGTTTTTTGTAATTGTGCTCTTTTGCATCATTTGAGACAAATGAGGGTGAGTTTCCTCTTAGTTTGGGGTTTAAGAAATACAGAGAAGCAAACCCAATTCCCTACATCCACGGAGTTCTATAAGGATCAAGAGGAAGGAGGTTGTTTTAGATTGCCTCATGCGTTGTGTTTGTTCTCTGTCCCAGAAAGGGAGCATTAATGCAACTCATGTGGGTATATTAAGGGAAATTTCCCTGGATTTTGCAACAGCTATGTTCATTGGACTTAATCACGATATGTAATCCCATTATTCCAAACAACACTCTTGCATGTAGCTGAGAGTAACCAGTTGTAGGCTCCTCTGCAGTATGTCCTCGTTTTGCACACGTGGTGGCATGGAAGGGAAACATTTTTTCTTCCTATTTTCCGGCTTTTGTTTAATATGCTCCCTATTTGTACTAACAATTTGAGGTGGTGCTGTAACAGCTCTAGAGCGGTTTTATTCCACTGGGATGGACTGTGAAGTGTAGGCTTTCTGTGCCTTACACAGGCATTTGAATTGTCTGTACCAGGCACTGTTCCAGATATGGGGTGTTGTATTGTGAGATAGGTCCCAGCTCTTGCCTTGTATACCTTTGAATTCAAAGTGGGTATTTATAACAGAATCCTCTTTTGCTTTATGTAGAATTGATAGGTAATTATCTCAGCTGTTTATCCATGGGTTAGTCATTTTGTGGAATGCTCTTTAAAAAATTGAAATTCCTGTTTGCCTTCTCAGTCTTCCCTTTTAGTCATCTCTGTCTTGTGATTCACTATGTATATAAGTGCTTTTTCCCCACAAAACTCCGAAGACCTCTACTTTTTTTCTTTATAAATATAACAACTAAAGCAGCTCTCTGAAGTAGGATTTTATTCTTGACAAGGAAAGCAAAGGGTTATATTAAAGGGGCAGCAAATACTTGCCTTTCCCTATGTCCCTCTTCCACAGTTTCTAAACTGAGGATCAAAGGATGAATATTTATCATATACGGCCTTCACCACCACCCCTCCCTTACAACCCCCTTCCCTCACATTCATGTTCCCTCACCTTTACATGTATACTCTACACTAGGCCAGCTGACTTCTCAACATCTTCAACCCACTTCCTTGTTGTTTGTTTTTTCTTGTTCAATTAGCTGGCATCACCTGCCACCCTCATTTCAACCTGTGGCTATCCTACCCATTCCTGAAAGCCTTACTGAAGTGCTCCTCCAGGCACTTCCCCACCCCCAGCCCTTCTCTGCAACCACATCTGCGGCTTTTCCCTTTCCTTCATTCTGTTCCAGCCACACTGGCCTGCTGGCTGTCCCTTAGCATAGTAAGCATATTCCCACCTTTGGGCCTTTGTTCTTGCTATCCCCTTGGCTCAGAATGTCTTTCCTCAGGCACCCCACATGGCCTGCTCCCTTCCCCACTTGCTTTTTCACCTTCTTCGTGTTTTTTTTTTTTTTTGCCTACTTTGTTTTTTCATGTGCACTTAGTTTTACTTATTTTTTTTCTTTATTATCTATCTCAACCCTCTACCCTACTCCAGGAGGGCAGGAGCATTATCTGTTTTGTTCACTGCTCTATGTGTAATAGCTCCTAGGATTACAACTAGGAACAGAGTAAGTGCTTTCTAAAAATCTGTTGAGTGAATGAATAAATATCAATAATTCTATCACCTAGTTCTGTGGTTATATGCTTTTGACATAACAACACTAAGTTAGCATTTAGTATCTGCATTAATGACTATTGTAATTTCTTGCATATGTACTTTTATTACAAATTTCAGTTACTTAAGTTCTCTAGTAAATTTGTATTTCTGGAAAACTATTTCATAGTATATCTATTTTCGGCTCTCTAAATCCTACAGAATTTTGCCAGTTTATATGTACTCTTTAATGTGCCTAAAAATGTGTACCATTCTCCTGTAGTGCTGAAGTTTTTAAAGCTCAGAGCAGTTAGAGTAATTTTGCTAATCCTCACTGTGTTTCTGATTAGCTGAAAACCATAGGAAGTTTTAGAAGTATTTCCAGTCAATGATATAAACTAGTAACATTATTACAGTGAAGAATAATGAAGGTAAATTAGTCACTATTCTAATAAAATATTATCTTTCTTTTTTTTCTACACCTGAGATACCTTATAAAGCAGGAGCTTTGAAAGAACTACAACTTTCAAATTCTTGAGGAATTATTTTTATGTTCTTAAAAGCTGCAGGTCCCCTCTGAAACATCTCTTTCCCAAAAATCTCCAAGATGGGAGAGCTCAATCTTAAACTGGCTATTCCCTGGTTTAAAAAAAGAGGAATATAAAGCTTTATTTAGATAGATTGGGTAAATGATTGAGGGCAAGAACAAGAAATGGTGGAGGGGAAAGTAACAAAGAAAAGGAATGTGTTGAAGATGGATAAAGGGTTAAAATTTCTGCTGAGCAAATTTTATTTGTAATTACTGTTAAAATAATTTTTTTTAAATCCTCATCTGAGGATATATTTCCATTGATTTTTATGGAGAGTGGAAGAGAGAGGGGAAGACAGAAATATTGATGGAGAGAAACACATCAATTGCTTGCCTTCTTCATGAGCCCGGACCAGGGCCCCGCAACCAAAGTAAGTGCTCTTGACTGGAATCAACCCGGAGGCTGACACTCTACCCACTGAGCCAAACTGGCTAGGGCTAATTACTGTTAATTTTTAAATCTGCTAACAGGAATATTTGTATCCGAATGTTTGTATCAAAATCATCCCCATCTTAGATTCCAGAGAAGTTCTAGGAATCATTTTTACCTTACATGGAATATAAATGTAGAGTGGACAATCCCTTCTATTATTTCCTAACTGGTTTTGTTTTTTCTAATTGATTATAAAAATGTAATATGTTTAACTCTAGGAGAACAGGAACAGATATCCCTTACTTATCACTGTACAATAGCAGATATGGAGATGCTCAATAAATATTTGTTGAATGACATTATTTATAGAAGACTAGAGGCCTGGTGCATGAATTCATGCATGGGTGGGGTCCTCTGCCTGGCCTGCAGTCAGGGCTGATAGGGACAGCCGGCCCAGGGGAAGGACTGCAGGAGGTTGACGGACTATAGGAGGTTGGCAGTGGGAGTGCACTGACCACCAGGGACAGCTCCTGCATTGAGGTCAGTGTGTGTCGTAGCGACCGGTCAGTCGGACATTCGGTCATTCAGTTGCTTACGCTTTTTACATGTAGATTACTCAGAGATAAGCACTGTTCATGATTTAATATCATTTATTTTAGGCTCCCCCTCCCCCCAAATGCTTTTAAACCAATATGTTTCTTAAAATAGCTTTTATGAATTGGGATCATTATATACCTCTTGTTTCTAGTTAATTGGAAAGAACAGCATTTCCCCTGGTTATTAAATATTCTTCAAAAAATGCCATTTTTAAAAGATCCATTGAACAAGCCCTCATTTAATTAAAAATTTTTAAGTTTCATATTTGTTGTTTCCAATTTGAACATTTTTTTGCAATTATAAATGTTATCATCTGTATAGAAATTTTGTCATGTGTCTTAGTACGGTTCCTTTGGATGCTCACTAGATTGAGTTCTCTTTTACATATCCCTTTCTCTCCCCCATGGCAGAACTCACAATTTTTTAATTGTTTTAGGCATTTTGAAACATATTCCAGGATTCTAGTCAATAAAGACAAGACTTGATATATCACAACACTTCTGTAAGCATTCCTTTCTTTAAGAAATATTGAGTGTCAACTCTGTTGAGTATGAGGATGCAAACATGACAAAATACACTGGCAACAAGGAATATATAATTTAGCCAGGAAAACAGACATGTAAACCCTCATAACTTGGTAAGTGCCATAGTAGAAGATAAGTAGAAGAGATGTCCAATCCTGTCTTTATTGGGGGATAAAAGAAGGGATGAGAGGAGAAAGAACTGATAACTTCCAAAACTGTATCCGCAGACCAGATGTCAGAGCCAGGGAGGATTAACAGAGGAAGGGTATTAAGGAATGCAGGGCTGTCTGGCTGGTGTGGTTTTATGATTGAGCGTCGACCTATGAACCAGGAGGTCACAAATCGATTCCTGATCAAGGCACATGCCAGGTTGCAGCCTCAACCCCTATGGCAACGTGCAGGAAGCAGCTGATCAATGATTCTCTCTCATCATTGATGTTCCTATCTCTCTCTACTGCTTCCTTCCTCTCTGAAATCAATAAAAATGTATTTTTAAAAATGCAGGGTGACTTCTAGGTGGACAAGATGGGAATAGTGTGCAAACAAACACCTGGTGGCTTAA